TTTCCAAATCTTCTTCCTTGCCTGTATCCTGAATAAAATTTTGAAGAACTTACTATAAATATTAAGTAGATATAAAATTCATTTGCCTTTAAAATATATCCAAGTTACAGGTACTGTTTCAGAAATACTATTTACTCAGTGGATATATAAAGGTCTAATAGACTTCTGGGGAGAGGAGGATGGAGGGGAGTAGGTAGACAGGATCAAGATTTGAGTTATAATGGTAGTGGGACCTGGTGTGATCATATCCATGCCCATTATATTATTCTTTTGTGGTTTTTAAATTCTAAAATATTTCAGAACAAAATTCAAAAATTACAGTTACAAAAAAGGAGAAACCACTGTATCTTGTTTATAATGAAAAACAGCATCTCTGTCTGTCTTTCACCCCTTCAAGTCCCACTCCCCAGAGATAAGTTTAATTATTTTTATAGTTTTGCCTTCATACATAATTCTGTACTTCTAAATAGTACATTTATGCTACTGATTCTTGAGTTTTCAATGTTTTAACATTTATATCAGTAACATTCTTCTGTGAAAGAGGAGGATTTGACCTTCCCCTTACTTCTTCTTCCTCTCTTTTCCTAAGTAGGCTATATAATAGTTCCTCAGTACTGGACATTAACTGGTTCTGGGAGCCTAAAGATGACCAAAATTGATGGGTACCAAGCAAATTATTTTGGCTGGAAATGGTAGCAAGTTATGAGTCAACCGACACTGACAAATTCTAGCTTGCAACTTGAGTGACAAATGAGTACCAGAAGAAAATTTTCACGTCAAAATGTGTTGAATTTCAAATGTGAAGAGTTTCAAAGCAGCCCAGCACCAAAGTGTGACTGTAGAAAAATTTTCATTAATCAGTAATCAGTGTTTTTGCAATCATGACTATGAAAATAGCATTCAAAGACATTATTACATGTCCTTTTTTGTACACCTGTTATCCTCTCTGAAGTTGATAGCTGAATTAAGTTTTTTTTGGATTTGTGAAGTCCTTTAAACTCTCTGATAGAATCCCCAAACTGTCTCAAAAGTATCCAACATGACAGGCCATACAGCTCTCCCCTCACCTCAAGTAATGCCATTGAGAGTGACTGCAAAGCTGTCACCCTGGGATCACACAGAGAATTCTTACTGTGACTCTGTTAGTTCCCGGGTTCCTGGGTTTAACTTCGATCCATTTCTTTCCTTGTTCCCTTTTTTGATGGAGCATGTATCTCAGGAACTTCCTGAGAAAGAATGCAAGGAAAACAAATATTTTGAAACTTTTCATTCTGAGAATGCCCTTTATTTTGTCCTTGCACTTGAGTGTGTGTCTTTATAGAATCTCAGGCCGACATAAACTTCCCTGGAAATCTGAGGGCACTAGCTCATTAGTGTCCAGCAACTGGTGTTGCTATTGAGAAGTCTATTATGAGGCTTGATAATTTGAAAAAATTTGGAAATTTTCTCTTTATTCAAATATTCTGAAATTTCATACTTACTGCCTCCTGTGAGTTTTCTTGTATTAACATTTCTGTTAACATTTTCTACATTAACATTTCTGGCAAGCAGGCCAATCTGATTGGAGATTAAGTTTCCTGTATCATTTCTTTCATAATTTCTTCCTATCATTTTTTGTAATCTCTTTCTGGAATATGTATCTACTGATCCTCCTGGACTGAGTTGTGTTTCTAATAACCTTTTCCATTTCCCACCTACTTTATTTTCCAGCTCACCTATTGACTATTTCACCTATCATATTTTTAATTTTATTGAATTCTTTCCAGTTCTCTAAGTAACTTTTCTTCTTTTGTAATCTTTTTTTTTTTCATCTTAAGTTTTTCTGGATGTAAAACATTGTCTTTTTTGATATTGTTAATTTTTAAATTTTAATATTTACTTTTGCTCCTTGGATTGTCTATATTTCTTTAAAGTTCCTTTTAGATCCATTTTTAACACTGGACTCTTTTTTCAGATGTTTGGTGACTTTGCTGTGCAGCCTGTTTATGAATAAGAGATGAGAAAGCTGATTAGAAGCTCTCGCGTGCATGGACAGAACTGGTGAACTATGACCTTCATTGCAGAGAGGTGGGACAGAGCCTAGACCCTAATGTGATGTAGTAGTCAGAATGAGATGTGTTTGAACACAACAGAAAACCCCCAAATAACATGATTAATAAAATTAAGATGTACTCTTCCCTCGCATACATGCTTTGGTAGTCCAGGGCTTGTATGGGAACTCCACATCCTCAGTTGCGGAGAACATCTGCCTTGCTATGCCACTCTCATAGGACAATGCCTGTTGGTCTGATTTCTCAAGCTGTAGACATGGCATCTACATTACAGGAAGCAGGAAGGGGGAAAAGAAGAAACAAAATAAAATTTCAGTCTTTTTCAAGAAGTTCCACACAATATTCAGTTTACACATTTTGCCCAGAAAGTAAAATATCGCCACATTTAGCTTTAAGCAAGGTTATAAAATGTAATGTTTTAGTTGGCTGCATTGTCACCTCTAATGAAAATTCAGTCCCCTTGCAGAGGAGGAAATGGAGAATGCATGTCACAATAGGTTACTAGCAGCCTAGGCCATACTGAGATTTCTCCAGTGTCCATATCTGTAAATCTTTTCTCTTAGGATGGTAACTTGCTCCAGAGAGGGCACCTCCAGCTTCTCATCATTTAAACCCCCCAGCAACAAGGTTGCAGAACATGCCTCTGGTGCCCTACGCCACATCTCCTTGGCATCCCTCTGATTTACCTGCAGCAGTGGTGGACAGGTTTGTACAGCTCACCTTGCTGTGACAGAGTTCAACCTTACACACTTGCTGTGTATATTTGAGCTCTACCAGAGAGATTCTGGAGAGCTTCCAGGTCAACGTGAGGATATAACCCTGAAGTGTAAGGGAGTAAGTACCCTCAGGGCCAAGCTTCAGCCTCTGTGGACTACGACTGAAGGAGGAATGTTCCAGCCTCCTGTGCACTGGAGATGTGAACAACTGAACGGTTCTGTGTAGGCCCTGGTGGAATCATTCACTAGTTGTCCGGAGCAGAAACCTTGATCCTGCGTACTTGTCTTCTATCAGCCTTTCCTTCTTCCCTGCCTCACTCCACACTTGTTTCCTCATTCTTGCTTCCTGGGACTATGTCCCTCCTCCAGAAATAATTGCACCAAGATCTTGACTTAGGCTTTGCTTCTGATAAACTCAACCTAAATAAGAAGAATTTAAAATTTTAAGCTTAAATTCTTATATTTCCTATGCCCATGTAAGACATCAGTGAGGCAGCCAGAAAATATGATATGTTGTCAAGGAGGAAATTTTAAAAAATAATAACTTTTTGGTTAAATAAGTAATATGAACTCAGTTCTCATCTCAAAAAATTGAATAGAGTAGGTTTGGATCAAGAATCTATTTTGACTAGTTTACAGAGTTAGCAGGTGTTTTGAGAAAATGTATGTTCCATTTTCTTGCCTGTAAAAATTACCATGTATAAGAAATTTTAGAAAATATAGTAGCCTGAAATTGCCTCTATGGTTAAAAATGGAATATGCAAATATACTTTTGAACTTGTCACATCAATGCAATAAATTGCGTTGATCTCTCCTTTCCCTGGCCCAGTGCCACGAACTTGTAGGTGATTAATGGATTCTTGCTGAATAGATGAGGAATGAATCAATAGAATAATAGTTTATACTAGTCTCTGTTTTCTCATCTTGTAAAATAAGTTGAAAATAACATGCTGACATATTTGAGGGAATTTTTGAGGACATATTATGTATAAAATTTTCATAAAATGTGCAAGTTATTAAAAATTATCATTGATAAATAATTCTGACAAGGGAATAAATGGCTACAAATATATTCTTTTTACACTTTGCATGAACTATGTGGTGGCACTTTAAGAAATTATAAGTAGATCACAGATGAGTCATTTAAAAATCTTTATTTTGAACTCATTTCGTAGATAATTTTGAATCAGAATAAGATGTCATATTAGTTATTTGTGTGATTTAAATACTTTAAGAGAGAAAGAATACAAGGTGTGCTAATGAGAAATATATTTTATAATCCATATATATATTGTGTAACAAGCTGCATTACACTGTAATATCTTTCAATGTAAAAGTATGATTTTGATGTCTTGACTAGACATTGAGGCCTCATGAGTCCTGAGATCTTCAACAAAAAAGAACTGTTAGCAAATTTGTGCATCAAAGCCTCACATAAAACATCAATGGGATTCATTAGTTCAGTTGCATAAGATTTTCTGAATTTTGTGCCTAGCACTATTCTGCTTGTGTGGTTAACCCCAGTCATGTCATGTATAGAACATGCCCTCTCGAGTAACTCAGAAAGTAAAGAGCTAAGGAGCAACAGATGCAGGTAGTCATTTGTATGGACTCTAGAAGAAGAGCAAGAAGGAGGTAGGAGAGAAAGTAGAACCTCTTTTATTTTCTGTTTCCCTGAGAAGATGCCCAGTAATCCTTAGCAGGGACTTAAGTTTGGCATTCTGTGTTGATTCCTTTTTTTAAGTGCAGATGTACAGTGTTAGCTTCCTAGGACTGCTGTAACAAAGTGTCACAAATTTGGTGGCTCAAACCAACAGAAATTTATTCTCTCACAGTCTGGGAGGCTAGAAGTCCAAAATCAGCAGATATCACAGAGCCATGCTGTCCTCTCTAGGGCTAGAGGAGAAAATTGTTTCTTGCCTCTTCCCAGTTTCAGGTGGTTGCCGGCAATCCTGGTCATGCTTTGTCTTGTAGGTCCATCACTGCATCCAATCTCTGTTTTTATCTTTGCATCTCTTCTCTCCTTCTCCTCCCTCTGCTGGAATTGAAGCCAGAGCCTCATGCATGCTAGGCAAGTGCTCTGCCACTAAGTTACATTCTTAGCCCTCTCTTATTTTCATAAGGACACAATTTATACAGATTTAGGGCTCACCCTAATCCAGTATGATGTCATCTTTACCTAATTACTTACATATGCAAATACCCTGGTTACAAATAAACACACATTTATAGGTGTCTGGGGTTAAGACTTCAACATACTTTTATTGGTGGGGGGGACACAATTCAACCCATAACATATATTATCTTTCTTTCCAAAAGTGAAAAATAGCACCACAGGTTTTGTAAAGAGTACTTATCTCTATTTTTTTAATAATTCTTCTAATCAAAATCCAGTGTTAAATTGAAAGTAGCAGATGTATATAACACATAGTTAAAGGGATGTAGGAATATTTGAAGTTAGACAAGCAAGAAATGAAGCAGTGAATTTTAGAAGTCAAATAAATAAGGAAATGGTGAATACTGAGGTCACAAAGAGGGCTTACTTTTCTTCTCTTTGTGATAGATTTGCTAATCCAAGACAGAATGTGAGAGAACTGAATCAGCCTCTGCCAAGGGTGGAATATTCCAAGCATATTTTTACTGAGAATATACCCAGAGAATACAGTGTTGGGAAAAAGAAAAACAAATCATTACTTAGAATTGAGAGAAGTATAAAAATGACAAGGTGATGGACATGCAAGTTGAATTTCCCTTCCATATTCAGAAAATGGGTATGATCAGTTTTTGTTTTGCTTCACCGGTATCTACAGTTAAGCCATAAATTGCTTTTACCATTTCTAGTAACTCTTTGAGCAGTGAGATCAAATGCATAGTATTTTGGTCCACTGAAGAAAAGGAAGAAGTCTACAAAGAAAAAGTTAATTTATTGAGTTAGTTTATAGAAGATCTTAGATATCTTCAACTAAAAATCTTGCCCCCATTCCAATATAACATCCAAATGTACATATGCTATTTTAAAATTTAATCAAGTTTATTAGCAGTTTTTTTCTCATACTTACTATTCTCCTGGAAAACCGCATCAACTTTACTTCTTATTCCTGGAAAGGCACTCCATAGGCATTTGGGATAACCCGGGTCCATGGATTGCCTTCGGTTATCATATCTGATAAGAATAAAAGTCACATGATTTAAGATTGATATAGATTACAATGATAATAGTTTTCTTTTAATTGTGTATATATTGACAAAATGCCTTTTCACACATTTTTAAAATTTGGTCTTTACGATATCCTATATGTTGGGATTAGGAATGGGTAATTTTTCTACCTAAGGGTACATACTTATGTATAAAACATTTGAGTATCATTAATTATAAAACAAGATTCTTGTGGCTGATACAAGGTTATTGCCAAAAACAAAAACTTAAATGTTCTAAGGATTTTACTTAACTGGTACACCTATATATGTACATACATGTGTGTATGTATAAATGTAAACAGTAACATCATCTGGGACATCAAATTGTAATGAATATGTGGACAATATTTGCTTGAGTGTGTCTGAATTTAACTCATACATGAAAATTAGTGTACATCTTTCTTTGTATGTTATTTTAGTACTTTATGAAGTTGTGCTATGTTTAATGATTCAGAATCCTTAATATTACTGTGCAGGCATTTTGATTTTATGAAAATAAATTTTCAAAATCCATAGTAATATCAATCATCTTATGAGAATGGGTATATCTTCTCTAAAACCTATCAGATCATTTAGATTTTTTCAAAATTTCATGCTTGATTGTTAATAGTTTTTAGTCAGGGCAGAGAAGCACAGAATTTAACTTCTAATTGAAAAAAACATAGTTTGTCTTACCTCCAGAACTGATTGTTTATGAAGAAGTATGTCTTTCCTTTATAGAAAACAGCTGCATCAATAGCTTGGACAGTGCTTGGAAATCCAAAGTTTGATATATCCCTGGGGTAACCTTGCTGAATGTCATAGCCATTCATTACCCAGTATTGGTTTCCTGTCAATGATTCAGGTTATATGTCAAGTAAAGTTCTTCCATTTCTACAAAATAATATATACTATTTCTTGGTCTTTGTATGCATTCAGAATAGAAATTAAAATAGAACAAATAGTATTTGAAAGATGAAGATGGCAAAGGTAAGTTGATGGGGTTATGATAACCCTAATTGCGCTTCCTCATACTTTCAAAAATTCAGTATTCAGACTTCTTAGCCTCACATTCAGGGCTGCACAACTGGATTTCTTATTTCATGTAAAACTAAATTATAACCTTGAGAAATCAAGGTTATCAAATTCTACCTGGGGTGAGGGTGGAGAAATAATAAAGATGGTCTAATGTGGTTTTAATGTTGTCTAATGTTGTTTTAGTAGGGAGAATACTAAGGCCTGAAGAGGGCACACACCTTGCTCAGAATCACACTGTGGTCCATGAACAAGAGGGAACCAAGTCTTATCTCCCTGCAAAATCCTGGCCAGCACCATGCTCTCCGCAGATCATCTTTTTCACACTAGCACTGGACAACAAAGAATCCCAACTCTTCCCCTTGTCAGGACTAAAATAAGAAGAAAACTTTAGGAAATTACCTTTAAATATGAAAACTAGGTCTTTTTCTGAATCCTCGTAAGCAGCCTGTATACCATTGGGCAAGGATGGCCAGAATAGAGAAATAAAATTGAGTTCGACCTGTTGCAGCTGAGGATGCCGTCTCCAGAAGTACCTGATAGAACATAAGGAAAGACACACAAACACATCTAAGTAGCTAGTTTCTAGAATTCTCAGGCAAGTAATGGTCTTAATAAGATTAAGATGTGTTATATACAAGTAGCAACTCCCCAGAGTGAATGTAATGTTTATATACTGCAAACATATACTCATAAAATTTTTAAATATTAAAAAAAGGTTGCTGGGAGGATACAACAATATAACATATGCTGTTTACAACACAGTGACCAGCATATGGCTAGGTTTTATGGTGATGTACATCTGGGGGCTCAGTTTCCAGAGGAGGTCACAAGAGTGATCTACATTTGGCATTGTCCCTTATTGACACATTGACAATCTTTGCTACATTTTTCATTATTTTTCCCTTTAAATGGTAAGAATATACAGTCATCGACCAAAACAACCTCACATACATTCAGCCCATGACTCTACAAGCATAAAGTAGCCAGTAGAAAAATGGAAATTTTTAGTTAGAAGATTTGCTTCGCTGGTAGTTATTGCATAGTTTCCATTTATTTGACTGATTTTGGATGGAATTGAATGATATTTTAGTGTCAGCTCAACTCAGCTGTTAAGTTCTCAAGCAACTATAGCCTATATCTATTTACATCACAACAAATATGTGAATGCTTGTGAATATTTTAGTGTTTTTTCCTTGACATTTTGGGTTACCCAGAAAAACACTAAAAAATCCAATAAGGTGCATATGCATAGAATTCAAAGGAAAAGCTAATACGTAAATTAATTAGAATCCAGTTGTAAAGTATGCTAGTAAGAAGTCAAAGGAAAGAATAATTCAATTTTATACTTGTCTTTAAAGAAAAATATTTCTCCACGGAGTGTGGTAGCAGCATCAAATGTCAGTCTAGGGTCGCAGGCTGTGGGAGTGCTTGGTCCAGTAGGTTGGATGGGGTTATTTGAAGGTCCTGAGGAGAATAAGGCTTTTTATTAAGCATAAGTCCAGTGTGACGACTGTTAGTGTACTTTAGCTGCTTGTTAGGAAGCCAAAGGTCTTCACCTAAAGAGAAATGCTATTAGACTATCCTACAAATCATTAATTCATTGTACATTTGGCCCTCTTAAAGTTTTTGCTTGTTTAATAAGAATAATGATGCTTTTTAGGGTATGTACTTCTAATTCTGTGCTTCTGACTGCTACAGATTATTCCATGGTATGCATCTAACATGTTGTACTGGTGTTTTCTTCTCTTGATAGGTCCACTAGGGACCCTCCAACTTCTCCCACAAACAAGACTTTGGTGAACATTCTTCACATGTTGCATACATGCTCCCTTATGGACCTATGTGAGAATTTCTTTGATAAATACATCTTTGAGCAGGATTCCTATACCAACAGAGAAAGTCATGTCTTTTTAGAATATATAAAATTCAAGAACATAGAAGAGGAGGAAAAAATTCCCACTATTCAGAGATAAAAATTGAGAGACATCATGATTTATCTCATCCTACCATTTTAAGGCAGAGTTAGAATTCAGTCTCCCCAGGCCTCCTTTGCTAATGCTAAATTTATTACTGGTAACTTTTAGAGTTTGATTTGAACTTGTCCTAAGGACAGAATGCAAGAGATCTCAAGGCTCATTCCATACCTATTCCCAGGTCCCACCATCTACTGCCTTATTCTTCAGATGACCTTACCATAGATGGCCTGAATGCCATTGATGTCATCTTGAGGGAGTGAGTAGGTGCTGGGCTCCCTGAAAGCATAGTTGGGATACATCAAGGCACCAGGGTCTGAGGAGTGAGAGAGCCCCAAGGAATGGCCGAATTCGTGAGCAGCAACAAGAAACAGGTTGTAACCTGAAATACAAGCATGCATGGTGAATGACTCCATGTGGATCAAGGGTGATAGAAATTCATTCTCAAGGAAAGCAACCTCCACGTCAAAGCTGCTTGGGGAAACAACCCTCCCCATGTCCATCTTTTTTCATCTTCTCTTTGGGTACCTGAAGAAATGGAGATTGGGAGAAATCAAGGTAGGAGTCATGAGTTAAGATGAGATGAGCATGAGCTTCTGTGCCAAACCTTAGAATTATGAAAAGCTGCCTATACCCCAATCCTCACATTTTATGAATGAGAACCTGATGCTTGGAGAAATGATGGCAGAGCCATGGGTCTCATGTCTCTAGGAACCTTTTTTATTGTGTGTTCCATGTTCCAGCTCCAGTTTCCCAGGGCCTCAGACTGTTAGTAGCATCTCAGTGAACAGCTAGTTAGAAAAGAAGCCAACCGGGATGGAGTAGCCTCGGGTGCAGGCTGACACACACTGTCTCCCTAACCACCTGTATCTTGGCATGCCTCTTCCCTGTTTCCAAGCTCTCCTTGTGCCCCATTTTCCCCTTTCTCTGCCTTTTAACTTCCATGAGTATAGTGCCTTTCACAATGGGGAACTTTAAAACTACAAGGATCCTACATACAGAGTTTAAACTCCTTTCCCTGGCCTTCAAGAGTTCCTCCACCTGGCTCCAGCAGATATTTGAGTGTTTGACCTCTGGTAGGAGTCTTTCAGTCCAGCTAACCTATGTGTCTCCTCTCAAACACATTGTGCATTTTCTTATATTCCTACTTGGAAAAGAATAGTAATCATAGTTGTAGAGTACCTACCACATGTTAGGCAATGTAATAATGTGCAGTCCTTACAATAATTTTATCATGTTTTATTAGTAATATTTTTACTATAAAGAAACTAAAGCCCACAGATTTTAAACATCTTTTTATTGGTCTTGTAACTAGTAAATTGTAGGTCTGGAGTCAAGACTCATGCTATTATCACAATGTTCAACTTTCTGTTGGTAATCGGAAAGTAAAATTCTACCAGTGCTTCAAGACTTGCTTTCTTTTCACCATATCCCTCCATTACACATACAGGAACATTATGTATCTTGAAAATCATCTCTAAGTGCCTGGAGTATTTTGCAAGAGGCTGTGGGGGATTTGAGTTGATTCTCTGCACTTCAGGAGTGCATAATCTAGAAGGAAAAATGCATGTGCTAACAACTTGAATGCACAGAACAATGAATAAGAACAGTTAAGAAAGAAATACAAAAGCTATGGGAATCTTTGGAGGAAGTCCTCATCATCAGTTGAAGACAAGGTAGAGGGTTCCCTTGTCATTGCATGATTAGATGAGGGAGATTTTGGAAGGTGGACTTAGGGGCATGGGAGGGGCATTTCTGGAAGAGGAAGGAATGTGAGCAAATAGAGGGGAGATGGAAAGCGCAGGAAGTAATTAGAAACAGTCAGATCATAATGTGGCTGTGTATTCGAAATATGAAAACAAGCCAAGAAAGATGAGGATGGATAGTCACTAAGAACCTTCAATTCTGAGTGAAGACATTTGGGCCTGATTGGTGGAGACTATGTATAAACACTGAAAACTTTTAAGCAGGAGAGTAATATGATCCAAGATGGACTTTCCAAGGATAAACCTTGCTGCAGTGCTACAAAAAATGAGAGAGGGCAGTGAGTGGAGAAAGGGAGTTGAGATAGGAATCTGGACACATCATCACCTTAATTAATGGGGGGTATAGGAATAGTGGCCACTATTATTTATCTTTGTGTATGCACAGTTCCTAGCACAGGGGCTTAGGTGGAGTATATACTCACAACTTAGACATTGAGAAAGTGGTAAGAGGAACAGGTGTTAAGCAAGCAAGGCAGAAGTTACTTTTCCCTTTATCATCTAAAAGGTGCTCTCTTGCTCCTATTAATTTCTGAAAAACACACATTGTGATCCTACAGCCTTGTGAAGTACTGCATTGTCTGATATACCTGCCTTCACTTCTTTTCTTCCCTCCAGACAGCCCTGCCTTTTTTGTTATGGAGTTTTTTCCCTAAAAGTAGTGGTTTGCTGCATAGGAACATAGCATTGAAAAAGAGATCTATCAGAATGAAATAACTAAAGGAGAGAATGAATGTGGCTATTTTTTCCTAGTAGGATAACCTTCCAAATTATCCTATTATTTTGGAAATCCAATTATTTCTGAATTCACAAAAAATTTAAAGAATAGGCCTTTTCAAACATCGTTACATTTGAGAATTTTTTTAAAAAAGAAATGACCTAAACCAATGAACATCAAACTTTTTAGACTTTGTGCTTCTCTGTAACTACTGAGCCCTGCCACTGCAGAGTGAAAGCAGGTACAGACGAAACATGAACAAGTGAATGTGGCTTTCCTACAGTACAACTTTACACAAGCAGTGCCAGACAGGATTTGATCTGACCCTGCCTGCTATGATTTGAATGTATCTCTCAGAAATTCATGCATTAGAAACTTAATCCCGATGCAACAGTGTTGGGGGTGAGAACTAACCAGAAGTTTAGATTAACATCACTGTAAAAAGGACTTGAGGCTGAATTTTCTCTCTCTTGTCATGCCCTTCTGTCTCCTGCCACGTGAGGATGCAGCAAGAAGAACCTCTTTAGATGTCAACACCTTGACCCTGGACTATCCAACTTCTAAAACCATGAGGAAATAAATTTTTCTTCTTTATCAATTAGTCAGTCTCAGGAATTCTATTATAGCAACACAAATGGACAAAGAGATTATCTTAGGAAATAAGGCCAGTCATTAGCTTTGGGGTATTTTAAACATAAATAATTTAGTATCTTGAGGTGGAAAAGGTTTTAAGTGATCTATTTGTGTGAATTTGAAATATTACAGTAATTTGTTATATCTGTGTGTGTGTGGACATGTACACACATGTGGGCAGATTGTTGTGTGGACAAAGGTAATTCAGAAGCTGCATGTGGATATAATCTTGGTTAATTTACCTTTTGAGCTTATGGTCCATGTTTCTTCTGCATCAAAATGAGCGTCTCCTCCAATACCTTGACCTGGCTGAAAGGCATGAGCAAGGATTCCATTGGGTCCATCAAACGGAGAATTATCACCATGGTCTAAAACAAGATAATTTGTGTTTATTCCTTGTGGTGCCTTAGGTTAGCTGGGAAAAACAAAACAGCATGGCTGCTTTGAGCCCACCTCTTTGGACAAAAGCAATATTGATGTCTGCTTCCCCCTCTGTGGTTCTGGTGAAGGTCAGGGGTGATGCAGCACTCCATGTTTGAAAGGCTTTTTCAATAGCTGTTTCCACATCAGCCTGAAACAACTGTGGGGTATAATTTCGAATCCTTTAAGACAAGATACATGAAGCATTTGTTATTACTTAGAAAAATCTTCCACCAGCAGACTGAGTTGCTTTTGTTGGAGTGAGTTGCATTTGTGTAGTCCTACCATCGGAGGGGAGTAAGGCAGCAGTGCAAATCTCAGGGTTGAAGATGGAAATGGGTCTGGAAAAATTACTATGTGTCTTTAAACCTCAGTGTCCTTACTTGTAAATCAAGATGATAAAATAGGATCCCTCTCATGGAGTTGTCGTGGGGGGTTAAATTCATGTAAAGCATTTAGTTCAGTATTTGGTAAATAGTGGTCCACAAATATGGGGTATCATTATTATTACCAAGATGTATGGGAAGTGAGGCTAGATTCCCTAAGCTTTATTTTGGTCTTACAGTGAGTGTCTAGAGAAACAGTTTCACATTGCCATAGGCTTGTTTAGTTTGTTTGGAGAAGGAGGACAAAAATGACAGGGGTTGGATGAAAAGAACCTATATGGTCTCTAGCCTTTCTTTCTCATACTTGTTTACAATTCACATTTTATTCATTTGCTATTCATATTCTCCAAGTTTAGAGGTATTTATCTATTTCTCCCTGGCATATCCTATGTCCTGAAACATTGTCTGCATGTCATTAGAGCTCTGTCACTACTAGCTGACTGAATGAATTCTCAAACCCTGGAAATATTACCTGTAGGTCAGGTCGGTGTTTTTCCACTTGGGGTTTCCTGGGGTCATCATATAATTACCAATATCAGGCACTCCACAGCGAGGTTTTTTCATTATCTCCAGAGTTTCTGCATTTGGCTCTCCTGTCACAGTCAACCCAAAAAAGTGTTGCATTTCTTTAAGCTTTTCAACAAACATACGAGTGCTGTTCCAATCTGGAGATCGAAAATCCTCCCTTTGCAAGTAGAAGAATTTTTCCAGGTAATTCTGGACAAAATAAGGATATACAGGTCTTTGCTATGAAATTACCTTCAGTTCTCTGGGCATTTTGCAATCTTTTCTAAGTCATTGCAGAGCTCCAGTGAGGACTAATAACCTGACAGCCACGGGTACAGTAACAAATTTATAGTTTGACTTTGAGGGAAAAATGCCTATTGGAAAGAACATTCCCTCCATTCAGTGCTACAATTAATACTTATGCATAAAAATAGATGTTTCATGAGGGATGAAGATCAAATCACACATGCAGACTGTTAGTTATAGTCAGGTTACTGCCTTATTTTTTTTTTTTAAATTAGGGCTAGCATTTAAAAATGTCTGTTGGAGTATTAGTTGAACCAATGCAGACTTCCTTTTTAAATCCTCTTTTACTACTGGAAAGAAGATTTAATCATCCTCATGAAGAAAGGGGAGCACACAGAAGGGAGCAACTTACAAGGCGACAATTCAGGTCCCAATTTGCCATACTGCTTCTCAAAATAAAATTGATCATTTCCAAAGAACTCCAACTATGTTTTTTGGATAATGGTAGTATCATTGATATTAGAATTTTATTCACCAAATAATTTTTTTGGAATGGTTCAACATTCATTTGCAAATAAAATTTCCAAGGGGTATTAATAAACCAATCATAAGATTTCATAATCTCACCTTATGAAGTCTGAGACTACCTGTCACTTTGTAGGTGACATGAGACAGAGCACACACACTTGGATCAGATCTTGGCTCTGCCATGGATTAACTGTGAGTAATTGTACATATTACTTATCTGATTTAAAATTCACTTTGGCCCCTGTAAGGGACTTAGTAATCACAGGGATATCATGAAATTAGCAGGGTGCCTTGTACAGAGTATGTGTTTGATAGGCTCTAGATATTAACTAAGGGGTTATATTGCCATTGTAAGAAAAAAAGTATAAAGAATAATGCTTCTCCAAAACTGTAAAGATAAGAAAACTATGCATCAGAAATTGTTGACAGCCTCCCCTTGTATTTCTTAAAGCTTTGGCCTTTCAAACTATAAAACAATGGGGGAAGAAAGCTATTGGGTTTGTTCATAGAATGTTTTCAAGAGTTTATGAGGTGACAGCCTAGTGCTGGGAAATCTGATTACACTATTTACTAATTTCTAGTTCATTATAATCTGCCATCCACATGCTGTCTTCTACATCTAGCAGTTTTGGTTGCAAAGCAATGTCCATATAGGAAGCAGTAGACATGTAACAACTGGCTTACAGACATACTAGAAGAGAAAAACATAGGTAAGAAAGAAAATTGCTTAGTTTTATAAATATAACCATTCTTTCTAAGGGTGTTTCCAGGTGGATGCATTCTGCATCAGTGTATTCCCAAGCTTTGAAGAGTTCCACTTGTTTCATGACTAGATTTTAGAGGGTCCAGCTTTGCCAGCTTGGAGCCCTCCAAATAACTAAAAGAAGATGTTAAACCTCTACAAACCACACAGATAATTTCTTTCAGGCTATTTAGATTAAGAGAAAAAAACTCTCAAAATGTCCTAGTAATCAGGAAGCACCACTCAACTGATATTAATTTACCTGAGCAATCTTTGCATTTTTCTCTTCTGAGTTTTCAGAAGGTATGGGAGAGGTCTTGGCAGGCTGCACGTGGAGTAAGAAAAGAAACAGAAGTGTCTTCACACACAGCATGACCTTTTCTTCAAACACAACCTCCTTTGGCCTTCTTTTCTGCCCCTCTGGGTAGGGCCAAATGGGTACTGTGGGGTAATAGTACCATGTATCACTCACTGCTCTCTTTTAGTCCCTTATAAAGCCATGTCTCAAACTGTTGCTGCATCAGGAGTATGAAGCAACACAAGTTAATTATACTCTGACAGTTTTGAAACTTTGAAATGTGATTTAGTACCTCCAAAATGAGGGAGTCTTTCAACATAAAAGAAAGCACAGTTTGCTACTCTTTGCTTTGGGGTTTTAGACATTTAGTTTTGCAAAATTGTCTGGTCAAGGAGAAGGAAGACTAGCTTGATCTTGAAGCTATGGGGTACATATTCTGGCTTTGTAAGGTGTTCAATCGGTATTGATTTATGCAAAAGAATATCATCAGATTAGTGGTAGGTATCCTGGGACCAAGAAGCTCAACTATAAAATCTCTGTACTCATCCACCCTCACTGTCTCTGAGGAGACTACACATGCCTGAGTGGGTTGTCACAAAGGAGGCTGCATATGAGGTCCCAGAGTAGCTTTTGGAAGATGTGATTTTGGCATCAATATAGAATTGAAAATCCCCAATCTGTAAACTGAATTTTCCAAGAAAAAGATTAAGATAGGAATACCGATGACGATGACAACAACAACAATTGTAACAATAATAAACATTGTTAAATACTTATGATGTCCCAGAGATATCTACTGTGCACATATTACCTCAGTCCATTCTCACACAACCTCCAGAGGGATTTAGATGACTTGTACAAGACACATGCTTAGCTTGTAGAGGAGCCAGGACTCAGCCTCAGTGGCATATTGAGGGACAGAGCTAGAAGCTTCATCACGCTTTGCTCCCTCTCATTTGAGTTCTATGTCGGCTCATATTGGAGCAGTAGCTCTAGGCCTAGATTATATTCATGGAAAAGGAGACAAAGGAGAGGGAGGATTAAATTTTTGTATGTTCCCAAAGAAGAAAGATGCTGAAAGAGGAGTTCCAGACAATGTCTCTACACAGATGGCTGTATTAGTCAGAAACCTTTGGACTTGCTTTTCAAAATTATATAGAGTCCTTTATTCTGACTCCACATGCATGTTGACATACAGTCTTTGTGCATACATACATACATATATTCTGCAAGGGCCGGTATCCTTGCATATAAATGCATATGTAAATACATATTGTAAATGTGTATGACAAGTAATGCATTAATATGTAAACAGGTCATTGCTTGACATGCTCTGAACAGGAGTTCAGTTGCTTCCTAATGTTTCTGAGATGCTTTGTAAACAATTCAAAGCAATATGTTCTGGGTTAGAACATATTTAGATAGCAGATTAATGTTCATGATGTAGATTCCTTTACTCACTCAATAAACATTTCCTGCAACTGCTATATGACAAGTTGTAGGATGGGTCCTAGATTGTTGGAGACAAGTTAACAGAAGTTCAGATGAAATGCTATGGGATTCTGAAGGAAAGTGAAATTATGGGCAAAGAGAAACCAAGATAGGCTTCATCAAGGAGGTGGAATTTGAACTGGGCCACAAGCAGAGGTAGACTATGGACATGCAGAGATGTGGCAATCAATTCTGTATATGAATGTGGTGCTCCTCCCCCAACCAAATTGCTCAAGTTTTTCTAAGATTAAGGTTGCTATTCTGGGTATACAACTGAAATATAGTTTCCTTCATATTAAGCCTTTAGTAAAAAAAAAACAACTCTTTTTATTGAATGAAAATGCCTTAATGCTTAATATTTGTCTGCTCCTACGTTAAATTATTTTAATGATCTACAATGTTTAAAGGGTTTTAAATTATACATTCTTCTAAATGTAATAGCAAGTGATTTAGATGAGAATCCAAAACTTTGGCATTTGTGCTTTAAAAATAGAATTATTGGATTTGGGTTTTCAACAATAGTTCCAACCCTTATGCAGTGCTGTGAGTGTGTGTGTGTGTGTGTGTGTGTGTGTGTACCTCAATGTTGAAGGATGAGTAAAAGTTTGCCAATGTGGTATATGACCCAGTAGAAGAAATAGCACAAATGCACTAAGTACAGAAGTATACCCAATGAAACATATGGTTTACTGGATTCACTTAATTTTGCCAAGGCAAAATGTCTTCTGCATTATGCCTTTTGGAACTCTAATGAACAGAATGGATATCTATATACTCTGATATAGTTAACTAGGATAATAGTTGGGGCCACTTGTGATGAAGAGTAAAGAGCACTGGAGTAGAAATTAAACTAAGTGGGCTCAAGTTGTAGTTCTGCCACTTCTTACTTATGCAACTGTCTGCAAATCTTCCACATTCTTTTGAGATTCAAATTCCACATCTATGATATGCTACATTAACATCTCCCAGAGGGCATCAGAGATAAAATGAGATCATCTACTGAAAAGCTCTGGGTAAGTGCACCAATGTGGTATTCCCTTTGTATCATAAATATGATTTAAGTTATGGCTGTGTTATTCATTGTGTGAATGAATTAGCAATGTTGACAGTTCCTCTTTACCGAAAAGAAGAGTACTTCAAAGTTAAACCACCGTGTGATGAAGCAAGGTCTATGAGCTTTCTTTAACAATGAGTACTCACTTTAGCCAGGGAACATGTACGTGTGAATTACCCTTTTTACACAGAGCATAGAATCTCATAAGCCATTATGTCTTACACCCTGTGCTAACCTGGCAACTTATTTGTGAGGGCAATGTGTATTAGGTGCTTACACTTTGTAGAAGTCTAAGATGTCTAATATCTATTATATCCCTTAAATGTTGTAACTATGGTTATTATCCTCATTTTAAATAGAAGTAAGACAGCTGTGTAGTCAGTTCAACCAGCATGAGCCTGATTGTGTGCCGACTGAACAGCTGTGATGGCCCCACATATCACTGAGGATCCAGTCAGCCCAGACATTTGTGTTTTATCCTCTCCTTCTGCTCCCCTCACAACTGGAGGTTGTTGAGATAAGACAGAATAATGAAAATGACCAACCCATTGATAGTCACTGTCCACAAACCAGTTTGACAATGACTCATGAAAATGGACCACGGAGTGATCAGCATTTCCATGCAGGCAGCTCTGTTTCTGGGATTTGCCAAGACTCTCCTCACTCCACAGCTCACCTCACATCCCTAAGTCTCAGTGTCCTCAGATGTACAACGGTGGCAGCAATAGCACTGACATTGTGGGTGTGCTGTGGAGGGTAAGTATGAATATGCATAGGTGGCATCTGGCACACAGCCTAGCACAAAGTGCAAAGTAGTATTTAAGAAGGACGGTTCTTTGACAATCAGTTATGAAAATACCTTACAGGATTCTGTGGGCTCCAACATGCAAGTGCTTGAAAAGCAATACCATATAAGGTATGAAAAATCATTGCATGGCTTTATTTTGTATTCAAAATCATTTATTTTTAAGTAGTCTAGTCAAGTGGTAATACATGTTAATTTATAAAAAAGTCATTTCAAATAGTCAGAAGTATGAAAAATAAAAGAGAAACATAAGGTGCTTAGACTCTTTAATCTTCTATATTTGAACATGGGAAGGAAGTCTGACTAGAGGCTGGGCCCCTGTTGTTCTGGGGCTCTGATCCCACACATTAGGTGGCCCCTGCTGGTCAGAAGATCAGTGGCTTCTGGATGAAAAGAGGGTTTCTCCCCCTCAGGCATCGTGTCTCTTTATTATAGCACTAATTCCACGCTTCTTCGCTCCTCTACACAGAGCAGAGCCCCAGAGCTAAGCTTGACATTGTCTCCTTTTATCCAGAGAAGAATCTCATTTCTGGGAAGTTAATTGCTGTTTTTGGGTTCTGAGTTAGGATTTAAGATAGGAATCTGTGTGGCTGTTCTCAGGACATCCTGGTGTCTTGCATGGGACATTTTCCATTCTACAGTAATGCAATAGCTTCTGGTTCCTTTTCTGGTTATTTAGTGACCCCTGCTGGTCTCAAGGAGATTTTACTGCCTCTTTTCCTGCCCTCTTCTTTCTCCCCTCTTCTCGCCTTTTCTCTTTTTTATTTTCACATTTGCTGATTTATTCTACAGGACAACACAAAGGATACACACAAGGTGAGTGATCGAGGAGTGCAGAGCTTCTATGCTCTCTCCGGGCTTGCCCTCTCCAGGAACCTCCACATGTTCAACTATCCAGAAGCACTCCAAGCCCCATCCTTTTGGGTTTGTCTGGAGGCTTCACTGTGTAGGGATGGTGCTAGTTGACTGAGTGGGGAAACTCAGCAAGGCCTGTCTGTTCTGATTCTTCTTGGCCTTTGTGCAGCGTGCCTCCCCCTAGGTCTCTGGAACAAGGAGGGTCTTATGACATCTAAGATGTTCTACCTTCTTCACAGGTCTAGTTTCCTGGTATAGAAGATCGGAAGCCTGGGCATACCTGGACACAAAGGTCTTTCTCTGCCTCCTCTCTTCATGAAGTCTCAGACCTTTCTCCTCTTTAAATGGGAGGCAGGTTTCTCTGTTACCCCTTTTAACAATTTGGTCCATTTATTTATCCATTTGCTTATATATCCACAATTCAACAGATATTTACTTAATATCTTTGGTATTTCTTCCAGCCTCTTAGTGTTGGGAGAGAAGTGGGCCACTAAGTTATTCTTGCTACTTTTAGATTGTGCTACAAGAGATTTGCATACAGTGCTATAATTACATAGAAGACAGAAATATTAATTTCCCTGGACGACTCAGGCAAGAGGAGACCATGGAGTTAATCTGGCCCTATCTTTCCTGACCTAAATTAACCTTGATGCTTCTTCCCTGATGTTTGGCAGATCTGCAAATCCTCTTTTGTCTTTACATATTTGTTTCTGAGTGCACTTATATTTACAAAGTGGTATCATTTGTGCAAATATGGATATTCAAATATGGATATTCAGATCACATGAATTTGAATATATAGATATTAAAATGAAAAAATGTAATATATTATAAAGTAATCTTTCCCTTTGGGAGAAACTGCTCTATCCTGATATGTATTTTTCTCTGCTGCATGAATCTCTTTACTTGAGAGCATGATCTTGTTACACAAAGTAGAG